GGGATTGTGAGGCATCCACTGTAGCTGTGTAGAACAGAGAAAACATTGCCCAATCCATCCTTCCTTCTCTTTTCCTCAGGGTCCAACCACTCTAGAAGTCAGTCCTTTAAAGGAAGATATGACCTAAACCAAGTGGCCGTGTGGTTATCGCTCATACTCGCCTGGAGGAGATAGCTGTGGGGTTGTCTCTGTCCATGCCCTGGACTTTACCCCGGCTACTGCTGGCCACACTTTATGTGGCTCTAAAAAGCCAGGTGTTGCTGTAGAGCTGTTAATGGATGCCTCCCCAATCTCAGAGGCTCTAATATGTATTCTTTGCTTGTGGCCATGGATCAGTTTTGGATCCACTGGGGTCAGCTTCTCTCGGGATACACACAGCCACACAAGCGCGCTCATGTGGCCTATCTAGGCATAGGTGTGGAATTGTACTTTAGCCACAGTGAACAGTGACAAGGCACAGTGAGGGGCGGGGGAGGGAGGAGGAATGGAATGGTACTTCATGAATAGTGAACTACAGCAAGATAAGTTTAGAGTGGACTGTGTACAGGTATGCAGCCCGATTCCAGCAGGTTCTGAGGTAACAGCCTTGAGTACTGGAGGTAAACAGGTGACCTTCAGGAAAGGGCTCCCAAGGACAGTCACCTCTGAGCCCTGTACTTCCTTTCAGTCGTGCTAAGCAGAGAAGCTGGGGGGAGGGCATGGCTCTGATGCCCTGAGCAGCAGTTGGCAAACTCCACAGAGGCCAGAGAGCAAACATTTCAGGTCTGCCTGCCAAGTGCTCTCCACAGCTGCTGCTCAAAGCAGGGCTGGGCAGGGCTGGGCAGGGCCTGCTATCAGTAAACTTGTCTTTATGAGAACAAGGACTGGATCTCCCAGGGTGCCTTGGCTTGTAGATTCCCAACCTAGACTTTGAAGGACAGGTCAATGGCAAGACACTGTATTCATCCCTTGTCTTTCTTTTTTAAATAACTTAAAAGTTTTTTATTTACTTAATTATTTATTTTTATTTTATGTGTATTACTTGCATGGATGTAAGTGCCCTGTGCCATTCAGTACCCACAGAGGCCAGAAGAAGGTGTCAGATCCCCCCTGGACCTGGAGTTATAGGCAGTTGTTAGCTATGATATGGGTGCTGGGAATCAAACCCTGGTCCTCTGTCTCTCTCTCTCTCTCATCTTTGCTCTTTTTGAGACAGGGTCTCCCTGTAGCCCCAGCTGGCCTGGCACTTGCTATGTAGACCAGGCTGGCCTTGAACTCACAGAGATCTGCTTGCCTTTGCCTCCCGAGTGCTGGGATTAAAGGCGTGTACCACCATGCCTCATGGTTGGAGAGTACAATCCATTGTGGCAGGCCTAGAGGCAGTTGAACCTGTGGCCATCAGAGTGGGAGGCCGCTTGCTTACATCTCAGTGGATCAGGACGCAGAGAAAGAGGGAATGCAGGTGCTTAGCTGGCTTTCTCCTTTGCCCCTTTTAATTCACCATGGAACCTCATTCTGTGGATGGTGCCACCTACATTCAGGGTGAGTCCTTCCCTCTTAATCCTCTCTGAAAACTCCCTCACGGAGACATCTAAAGATGTGCCTCACTAATGTCCTAGACTCCTCTTAATCCAATAAACTTGACAAAATTAGCCATCTCAGACACTAAATTTTAACAAAAGAACAAAGACCCCTTTTGAATTGGGAAGCCAAATGAAGTTCACAGGGTGGTTGGTGTGTCAGAATGTCTGTCCATGCAGCTCTGATCCTGCACAGTCCTTTCATGTCCACTGAAAGCAAGATGACCACAGCTGATTGTGTTCAAGCATGCATCCTCATCTAGCTCACTGCATCTTCCAAGAACAGCCTGTAAGAGCGCTTAGAAAGTTGTCTGGGCTTTGTACACAGCCGGTGTGGATGGCAGGGTAGCCATCAAAGTGAGCCTTACTGATCTCTGTGGTCAGCATGTCTGTCTCCCAGGGACCTCCCTGTTGACCTGGTGCTCCAGGGTCGTGGTAATCCTGGCAGCCCACCTGCATGTTCCCTCTGGTTGTTTGGAATTGTCTCATGGAGGTATAATTAATATGCATATACTTCATCTGCAGGAGGATGTATAGAATTGAGTAGCTTTTAGTGTGCTTCAGGCTTGTCACTGTTAGGGCATTATTATTACTCCATCCCCCAAATGTATACCCGTTAGCTGTCTGCCCCAAATCTGTCTCACAGAGTGGCTGCATTTTGAATATATTTTCAGGAACCTCTGAGTTTCCCTACATTGTCCTTGACTCTGAGGGGCTCACAGGCTCCCTGGGCTGGCAGAGCCAAGTGGGGGTGGGTAGCTGGTATTAAAATACATGTTTCACAAATACCTCGCTTGTACCTGATCTTCCCACAGAGTGACTGTGGCGCCAGGGGAGAGGTTTTTTTTTTTTTTTTTTTTTTTTTTTTTTTTTTTTTTTAAAAAAAAAAAAAAAAAAAAAAAAAAAAAGAGGACGATAAATCTTTCACTGTGATATATCAAAATAAATCCGCCTGCCTCTGCCTCCCAAGTGCTATGATTAAAGGCATGCGCCACCACGCCCAGCTTGAGAGTATTTTTTTTTTTAAAGATTTAACTGTGGATATGTGGGTAGGACATGTGCATGTGAGTGCAGATATCTGGAGTGACTAGAGGTGTCAAATCCCCCAGGAACTGGAATTAAAGGCAATTGTGAGCTACTCATTGTGAGTGCTGGCAACCAAAAATGGGTCCTCTGGAAGAGCAATACATGTTCTTAACTTCTGAGCCATCTCTCCAGACCCAAGGAGTGACTTTTAGAATTCGCCCTTAGTTGCAGTCCCAAGCCAAACAAAACCCCAGCGTGGATGGGGAGGTGGGCAAGAAGCCCCAGCCTTAACTGATGATCTATTGGCAATTGATAGCTGTTGGGAGAGGGAGAGTCTGTTCTTTTTACTGGTGTGATGCCTGGTAGGTTGATCAGAGTCCAAGGGATAGACCCATACCCAAGAGCATTTGGGAAGCGCAGATTAGACTTGCTAGGGCCTTACAAAAAGAGAAAAATAATAATAGAGGATATGAAGTCCTAGGGAGTAGTAGGGTGGGGAGTGGAGATGGGGGAGGAGTCTGAGTATCATCAAAATATATCCTGCTGGGCCTGGTGGCACATGCCTTTAATCCCAGCACTTGGGAGGCAGAGGCATGTGGATCTCTGTGAGTTCAAGGCCAGCCTGGTCTACAATAGTGAGTTCCAGAACAGCTGGGGCTACAGGGAGACCCTGTCTCAAAAAGTAAAAAGAAAAAACAAAAAATATATATACATATATATATAATTATATATATGTCCTATGAAATTCTCCAGGAATCAATAAAAAAATTTTTTTAAATGAACTTTAAATAATGGACCCTTAGTCTGGGAAAGTGGCTTAGTCTGTAAAGTGCTTACAGAGAGGACCTGAGTTTGACGGTCAGAACTGTATATAAAAGTTAGGCATGGTGGCATTTACTTATAATCCCAAAGTTGGGAAGGCAGAAACAGGAGCTCTCTGGCTAGCCAGTCTAGCCTGTTTGGTGAGCTCCAGGCCACTGAGAGACCCTTTTCATAAAAGGTGGATGGCACCTGAGAAATGACAGCTGAGGTTGACCTCTGACCTCCACATGCATGTACACATACATGCGTGCACACTCACACACCTACTAAACAACAACAAAAAATCTTGCCCTTTGTAATTTACTATTCTGCTTGGTAGCAGGCCTTCCTCTGCCATGTACTGTGTTTTGAGGTGATGCCCAAGTTGATTTGAAACTTAGTTCAAGTAATATAGGCTTGGGTCACCGTGGTTCAGTTTGCTCTGTGCGTCTGTTGTGCTTAGCTGCCCATTGTCAAGCTGTAGGAATCTTTTAATATCCAGATGATCTCACTTGATGTTTGAAGAATATTGCCATTGTTCATTTAGAAGCAGAGTTTCCTGTGTAGGAAACAACGTAGGTTAACAATAAAGTAGACCAGAGTGTTCAATGGCAGAGACACCCTTGGTACTGTGGTTTCTCAATGTTGTTCTATTAATAAGATAAAGGTTTCCAGATCTGCTGCTTAGATTTTTATCTCAGAGTATTCCCCTAAACTAGCCAACACCCATTGTGCCCCAGTTAGAGCCCACACTGGGGAGGAAGGAATGGGAAAGGGTGTAGGCCTGAACTCTGCCAGCTGCTCAGGTATAGTTTTGTTTTGTTTTGTTTTGTTTTGTTTTGTTTTGGTATGAGGTCTTGCATAGCCCAGGCTGGCCTTCATATCTCTATATAGCTGAGGATGACCTTGACCTTGTGATCTTCCTACCTCTACCTCCCACTGCTGAGATTACAGGCATGTGCCACCAAACCCAGAGCGTGTGGTGCAGGGGATTGAGTCCAGGGCTTCATGAATGTTAAGCAGTTACTCTACCAGAGCTGAGTCACATCCTTGGCTCTGCTCAGGCTGTCTTGAAAGCTTGGAGTCATGTCACAGATGCAAGGTCTAAATGGTTTTGGACAACAGAAATCAAATTTAAGTATAAAAAGTAAATTATTTGAAAACAATAAACTCAATCTGAACACCCTGTGCTGTCACAATACAGCCCAGGAGGTTGAATGGGTTGGGTTAGGTGACTCAGAAGCAATTATCCTGCTTTTGTTATAGGTCATTAAGGAAATACAGATTTACTTCTGAGTCATTTAAAGGATATTTGTAAAGATCAAGTTTGGCTACATAGAATAGTGGCTTCACCTGGTACTATTTAATTTTTTTCTCAAGTAAAAGCTGAGGGCTGAAGAGATGGCTCACTTGGTAAAGTTCTTGCTATGCAGGCATGAAGACCTGATTCAATCCCTAAAACCCACATGAACACACACACACACACACACACACACACACACACACACACACACCCCATTCAGAAAGGCTCTGAGGTTCTGGTTTAGCCTTGTGTCCTCGGCCCCAGGCTTCTCTTTCAGTTTTATAATATGAGTTATGGCTTCCACCCTTAAGGTCACATCATATCTAATGAGGCTGCTGAAGCTCCAGCTGTCCTTGGAAAGCCTGTAGCTACAGACCATCGCTTCTCTCATACTGGCCGTGCTTTGCTGTGGAGGTGGAAGTGGAGTGGATAAAAGCCTTTTCATAAGGCTCAGGGCTTTGCTACCAAGGAGAGTGGAGAGTCTGTCCACCATACCTCCTCGACCAAGATTAAAAGTGTGACATGAACTTTCAACATCAGTGTTTCACATCATAGCTTGCAGAAGAAAATAACAGAGCTTGCAAAGCATCATGGGTAAGTGGCGGAGATTATTCATAACTGGAGGCCACTTTGGATCCTAGTGGTACCTTCCATTCTGGGCACAGCGTAAGTTCCAGAATCTGGAAGCACATATTCCACAGGCAAAAGACAGCTGAGGGAGGCAGCCTCCATAAGCTGAGGGACACAGCCTCCACAAGCCAAGGAATGCAGTCGCCATAGGATGAGGGATGCAGTCTCCACAGGCTGAGGGATGCAAGGGACACAGTCCCCACAGTCTCGTTAGGCTGAGGGACACACAGCTTCTGCAAGCTGGGGCTCCATAAGACATGAGGAGACGCATCATGTCTGATATGACTGCAGGGCTCCTGGTTGGACACAAAGTCTCAGAATGAGTCAAAAAGTCTCACTTTTGCTATGTGCAGTGTTGAAGAAACACGAGAGAGAGAGAGAGAGAGAGAGAGAGAGAGAGAGAGGCGCGCTTGAAAGTTCAAAGAGTCAGGAGGAGCTCTAAGAGGCTTACACGGCCAGGGGCTGCATGAATGATAGTTAGACTTCACTATCTGGGGTCAGGCTATGTTATGAAACCAGGACCTGCTGCCTCCTAGGTGTGTGATGTGGGTCTGCTTATGCAACCTCTCTGTGCTCTAATATATTCATTTTTTGTGTTGCAGGGGACATTAGGAATCTCCTCTTAGAGCCATTGGGAGGATTCAGTGAGGTAATTGTGTAAGTGGGTGCAGTGGCATTCCATGAATGCTCCCCATTTTTGCCACTGTTGTTCTTACTCTAGAAAGTACAGATGGTTTGAAGATGAAATGAATATAAAAATGAAGTTATCGCAGCTCTGGAAAAAAAGCATCCCTGAATATTTTTAGTACACCTGAGATGCAGAAAGCATGAAACAGAACTATAAAGAGAGCAGCTGAGGACTGGAGTGCATTAGTGGTAGAGTGCTTGCCTGGCTGGTGTAAGGCCCTGACTTCCATCCCCAGTAATGCAAACAAAGTCCATTAGTGTGAGCTTACAGAATTATACTTTATACAGGGATTCTCACTACAACACAGTATATTTATTGCTGAAAAACTTGTGTGTTTTACAAATTCGGACACAACAGGAGTTATGCAATTTAGTAAGCAGAACACTTACAAAATAGGCAGGCAGACTGTTGTCCTGTCTGGGGCCACAGCAGCACCACAGGCTAGTGGTAGGAAGGGGGAACAGAAAAGGTGGGCTTCTGGAAGCCCAGGGCCAGGCCAGGCACCTCTATAGGTAGAGCCCTGGGGGCTAGAGCTTGCTTTAAATTTCTTTAAAATAGAGTGGGATGTGGTAACATAGGCCTGTCATCTCAGCTCTTGGGAGATGGAGGTGGGAGTCTTAGGAGTTCAGGGACAGCCTTGGCTACAGAGTGAGCTCAAAGTCAATTTGGAATACATAAAAAAAATGAGGTTGGCTTAAGAGATGGATCAATGGTTAAGAGTACCCACTGCTCTTTCAGAGGATCTAGGTTTGATTCCCAGTACACACTTGGGCAGCTCACAACTGTCTGTAACTCTAGTTCCAGGGAATCTGATGCCCTCTTCTGGCCTTCATGGGTACTGCACACATGTGGTATACATACATAAATGTAGGCAAACACACATATACATAAAATACAAAGTAGTTTTAAAAAAAAAGTAAACACAAAGCAATCCAGAAACTGGGCATGCTGGCATACCTGGATAATTCTAGTTGCTTAGGAGGCTAAAGGAAGACAATCAGGTATTCAAGGTCATCCTTGAGTACATAGCCAATTCCATACCAGCCAGGGCCATAATAAGACCCTGTTTAAAAACAAAAATTTCAAACAAGACCGATAAGACTGAAAGGCCCAGGGGTGGGGCTTCCTTTCTCCTCCTTAAGGGAGGAAGGATCCTCCTGCTTTGATCACCATGCCCAGTACAGGATGTGTCAGGAGACAACACAGCCCAGCAGTAGCCTGTTTACAGTAGTCTGTACGCTCACAGCCCAACCCAGCTTTTGCAGAGGAAATTTTTGCTGGGGAGTGTAAGTGCAGCTTAGCTGTCAGGGAAAGGGCTTCTGCAAGGTCCTTGTGCATATCAGCAATAGAAGGAAGCATCCCTGGATAAAACAAAAAGGTACAGCCGCCCCTGCCTGCAGACACACTCTGAATACCACCAGGTCTATGAAAGGACATGGAGGATTGTAAAGGATCAGAAATAATGCAAATAATAAAGTGTAGATTCTACAGTAAATAAAATAAAACATCATAAAGGCAAGATACTAGTGAATTTATGTTAGATTGGCAAACTTTGAAAGTTTCACAAGTGCAGGTTGTGGGGGTGGGATCTGGTGCCTTGGATGTGGTAGACACTGGTGGCCAATCTGCAGGATAGTCTGGACATATGAATGCAGGTGGAGGCCACAGTTCTATTCTATAGCTTGAGGATTTGGGGGCCACTGGAGCAGTGAGTGGGGGTCTGGGGAGGATGGCTGGGGCTTATTCCAGCTCTTTCCCTGCAGAAGTGACTTCTCTAAGACCTGGGGGATGTGAAGGTGCAGGGAGCAGAAAAGAGAGTTTAAAACTGGCTTTGGAGTTAGTGTTGGTGCCTGAGTGCTTTTGGGCTGCCTTTCTTCCTCCTCCCCCTCCTAAGTCTGTGACAGGCTTTCCCAGGACATTGTCTTAGGATGTGTGAACTTGGCATGTTGTCTGGGAGTGTCATTCACATCAGGCTCTTGACTTCTATAGTTTTAGAATATGAAAATACCTTTTTTGTTTGATTTTGTTTTGATTTTTAATATTTTTTATTTTATGTGTATGAGTGTTTTGTCTGCATATATGTATGTGTACCATGTGAATGCAGTGCCTGTAGAGGCCAGAAGAGGGTAGTGAATCCCCTGGAATTGGAGTTACAGATGGTTGTGAGCTGCCATGTGAGTAGTGGAAACCAAACCCAGGTCCTCTGCAAGAGCAACCAGTGCTCTTAACCTCTGAGCCATCTCTCCAGCCCCTGTTTTTTTTTTTTTTCCTGTTGTTGTTGTTTGTTTTTAATTAAGAGTCTCTCTCTGTAGCCCAGGTTGGCCTGGGGCTCACCATGTAGCCCAGACTGATCTTAATTCTCCAGATTCAGCCTCCAGATTGCTGGGATTATATGCATGCGCCACCAAACCCAGCTCAAAGTATTTTGGTCTGTGTTTGATGTGCTTACCTATGCAGGCGTGTGTGGAGGCTAGGGGTTGACATCAGGTATTTTTCTTCACCACTTCTCTATTTTATTTTTGAGGGTCTCAAACTAAACTGCTTTGGTTAGTCTGGTTGACCAGTGAGCCCCCAGGATTTACTTGTCTCTTCCCTTCAGTGCTGAGTTTATAGATAGATGTTCCATGCCTGGCTTTTACGTGGGTGCTGGGGATTCAAACTCAGGTTTTCATGTTTATTCAACAAGCATCTTACCCACTAAACCATCTCCCCAGACCTCAAAGTGCTTTTAATTTTTCTTTATTTATTACTATTGTGTGTGAGTAGGTGAGTAGGTACATTTGCCACAGCATGCACATAGAGACCAAAGGACAACTTTGTGGAGTTGGGTCTCTTCTTCTACCTTTTATGTGGGTTCTGGAGAATGAATTTAGGTCCTCAGAATTAGGACCTGAATTTGGGCTTGAATTGGGAGGTAGTAAGTACCTTTACCTGTGGAGCCATCTCACTGGTCCAAAGCATTTTTAATTAAAAAAAGATTCTAGATTTGGAAATGCATTCCAAATGTAGTTCAGCTTAGTGTCCCCAGTGCTGACCTTTGACACACTCACAGTACCATGTGTCATCTCTCTCTCTCCTTTTGTAAGTCAGTTGTAGATTGTGTGACCTGCTGTTTGCAGGTGCTTGGTAAATATTTCCTAAGTACAAAGACTCACATTTCCATCAGTGGAGACTGATGTTGGGATGTGAGCTCAGACATGGGGCTCATCTAGTCCAGAGCCCTTTTCACATGGTGCTCTTGTCCCTAATGTCTTTTCAAGGTGGGCCCTGTTGTCATTTATACCTGAGATCCTTTGTTGTGTTGTCGTGTTTACCTTAGGACATTTAGGAGCATCGCTGGCCTCTGTCCACTGGAGGCTGGCCACACCACCTCCCAACTGTCAGATGTCCCTCGGGAGGCAGGAGACTCACTGCATCTAGTCAAAGACAGCCAGAACCAATTTGCCAGTTTAGGATGTCATCTAGGACCCCATGTTGGATTTCATTGTTCCTTGACGTTCCTAGGCAGGTGTAAGCTCTGCCCTCTCACAGACAGGCCTTTGAAGCCCAGGGTAGATGAGACCGAAACAGCAGAGCTTGCCTCATCCATGTTGGTGACAGGAGGGAGGGCTTATTTTGGCAACCCTTTAGCCCTGTCTAGCTGGCCAGGGAAAGTGCTAGCCACTCTACAGGTTGCTGGAGAAGGTTACCTTGCCCAGAACAGGCACAGATATGTTTGCGAAGAATTCTGTTCTGCAGCATTTGTGGAGGAGAATGACTCTGACCTGAGCCCTCATCTGGCCATCAGTGACCTAGCCCATAAAGGACTACAAATTGACCTTTGGTAGAAAGTGTCAGATCGTGAGGTAGAATCACTTTGGGTCAGCTTCTGCCTGGCTTTCCTGTGAAGGTGGCCCAGGAGTCATTAGGCTGGCATCTGAGGCAAAGGGCAAGGTAAGGGGAGGTGTGGCATGCAGAAGTCCAGTGCCAGCACAGGCTTGTTGCAGAGGGAATGTGGTATGGCCGTGGATGCAAGGTGGTAACCCTGCGCATGTGTACATATACACGTATCTTTTGCCTCTGTTTAAGGTGGGCCAGGGGGTCTGAGGGATTCTGGCAGATATGAACAGATTCTGGCTGGTATGTTGTGTCTGAGTCTGGTGGGCCCAGTGTGACAGGGTCTGGGCTGAGGGTGGGGTGTTCTTCAGCAGGAGGGAAGCTGGGTTGAGTCTTCAAATGGGCTGGAACTGGAATGTAGATCTTGGGGTCCTTTGTTTCCTGGTTCTCTACCTCATGA